TTGACAAACTTTCTGTAGTTTTATTTATTCCGTTTTTTATTTTACAACTCCATAACAGGAAACTCTTCATAATGCTTTTTGTTATAATTTAAAACTTTCATATAGTTTAGCTATTTAGATGTAGAAACACAGATCGTTTCCAGTCGAAAAACGATATAACAGATTACAGAGAAAATGAACGCAGTAACTCACCGTTTCTAAAGGTGAGAATGATCGTTCTGCAAACTGGAAAGTGAGAATCCGGTGGCCGGTTCTGTCTGAAACTAGAAAAATCCGGTCGAAAATTTACGGATCTGAGTAATTGGTTCGATCATTTCTTTTTTTCTATCATAGGTGAATATACAGGATGTGTGAAAAATTCCTCAAGAATGCTAGTGTGAATATCGCTTATACAATTCAAGCGATTTTTTTATAATATGTTACTGAGTTCGTTAAAGTTTTGTTCTGTACATTTTCAAATGTCTATGTCTATAAACATTAGAATAAAAATAGATTTATTAATGGGCGAATTTGAGCTATTTATGATTGTGAAATGAAAACTGCAAGTCAAGTTTAACAAAAAAAAAAAAAACATCCAGCGAAGATTGAATTAAAGTGATACTTTAATGCTTTAGCAGAACTAATATAATCAATGGTGTTTGTGAAAATGAATCACAGTCATGTGTTAAAGATTCACAACGACCAGCTTCGTTCCATTTACAACAGCACACCAAATTATTACTGAATATCTTTCATTGAAATCGTACACGGTGAACTGTTGTTCGTGAAATGGAGTAGATCTTTGGAATAGCTTGAACACATGATTGTGGTTCATTTTCACAAACATTATGAATTTCATCGTCTTTTTCTTCTGTAATTTTTCATGATCTTCTAGAATGTTTTCGATCTTTCATCGTATCGATTTCACAAAAGTGTTGTATAAGAAATATTTATATTAACTTTTCTGATGAACTTGAGGATGTGGATCTGAGACTGGAAAGATGACCAACACCTCACACCGATAACTAAAATAATTAAAGTATATCATACACTTACAGATGGTGGTGATAATGATTCTGTGATGTCAATATCACTAAAAGAAGAAACATCAATAGATTTTCAAAAAGCAAAGAAAATATTTTTTGTTTGTTACTCTATTTCAAATTGTTCTTTTGAATATTTTGGATTTGGTCGACGAGGTCGTAATTTACGAGTATCTATTTCATTTGATGTTGATATTGATATAACATCATCCACTAAAAAAAAAAAAAAAATTTAACAAATGAAATATGATTAATTCTTTTCAAACAAAAATAATTATACATTTTTCATCAGAAATATTTTTATGTTGTATATCATCAGTTTTTATTTTTTTCTTTTTTATATTTATATTTAAACTTTCATCATTATGTTCTTGTAAATGTTTTATTTTTCGTGAAATATCTGAATTTGTTGAATATGTTAATGGTGATGCAATACGAACAATTGGTGGAGGTGGTGATGGACTTAAAGATATAGTTGTACGTTCATTATCAATAGATGGTGGTGATGGTGATATATCAACAAGTTCATTTGGTGAATTTAATGGTGATAAAATATGTGATTTTTTTTCTTCTTTAATAGAATTTGTTTGATTTAATAATGATTTAGTTTTATTTGATATTGATGTTGATGATTGTATTTTCTTTTGAATTATATTTGATGTTTGTGGAGTTTGATTGATTTTTGAAGAAATTTGTTCTTGTTTAATTGATTGAGATATTTTTTCTTGATTTAAAGATTCTTGTAAAGTTGTATTTGATTGTGTATATGATGTTGTTGGACGATAAATATGAGTTCCACCTAAAATAAATTCATAAAAAAATAATTTTATTTCAAAAACAAAGAAAATTTAACCTATAGAATTATAAACATGTTGAATATGATCAGAAACAAATGATGATAAACGTGGTTGAACTAATTGTTGTTGACATGTTTGCATATATTGATTAACAAGTGATGGTAATGTATCTTTGATTAAATTGGATCTATTGGTTTTTTTTTTGTATGAAAATATAAAAAAAAATAGAAAAATAAGTTATTTAGGAGGCATACGAAAATTAGTATCGGAAATTCTTTATAAAAAGCTTAAAGAAATTTTATATTATTTAATCATTCTTCGACTAATATCATAATAATAAAATTTCGATAAGAGCTGTTGGTTATTATATGCAATGGTAATATTAGATCACGTATTGTCTTTGGTGTATATCCTCTTTGTACTTCTTCTTCTAGGGATATGTAAAATATATCCTTTTTATAGCGGTGTATTTTAGTTAGAACCTATCAGATTCGGATTCGATGGGCTCTAATCCTAGTACTTCAGCGAATATCGATGTCATTGTGTTCGAGTAAACTGAAACTGCAGATCCCATCACCTGCTTTAATGCATAGCTGTCTATACATATTAGAGCATACAAAAGGTAGTGTCAATAGAACAAAAAACAAACGAAATAAGTTTATCAATTTTTTGTTATTCGATTTAATCAAACAAAATCTTAGCGAACAAAACAAATTCAGACTTAATGAACTTTGTTTTTTTGTTCTACGGATATTACTGTAATATGTATAGATGACTAAGCATTAGAACATCAAGAAAAGGATATACATCGATAACAAAATGTAATTTAATCAAGCAAAAAACCACGCTCTCCGAAGTTACAGTTTTATAACTAAGAAAACTCTAAATCTAAGTCCAAAAGGGATGACGACGTACTCTTGTACATCGTTTCTCTCCTTTGCATCTAATATTACAATCGTATATCATAACAAATAACTCTTATTGAAATTTTATTCTTATGATATTAATTGAAGAATAATTAAATATCAGAGAAATTTAGAGCATTATTTTTACTATTGATACTACATAGAAAGAAAATTTTTTTTCAAGATTTTAATAAAACTTACGTTTCTATATGACGACGTGCTCTTTCACGTATATCAGATTTTTTTAATGATGAACTCCATTTATGTTCAGATAGATAAGATGACATTAAAGATTCAATTTGAGATTTTAAATCTAAATATGATGACTAAAGATAAAAGAAAAAAAAAATAAGCGAATAATTAAATAAAAATTTTTAATAAAACAAACCTTTTGTTCAATATCAGATATTAAATCACGTCGAATTGAATCAAATAAACCATCCGCTTTAACTTTACGCATAACATCATGAAGAATATAAGATTCAGACATTATTCTAGAATACAACAGAAAACTAAAAAAAAAAAAGTCCACTGATGTTTAGTTATTATTTGTTTTGAAAACCAAAAAAAAAATGACAAATAAGAAAAATAAATAAATAAAAGAACTCTTTGTTTCTCTGTCGTTTAACAACGAATAGCACTTCCAATAGCCATAAATGTTCCAAAAGTTCCACCTGCTGAAATAACTGATTTACCAACAGTTGAAAGAAGTTCACGACCACGTAAACCATATCTTCAAAAAAAAAGTAGACAAATGAAATTTTCTTATGAACATAATCATATACCTTAAACCAGTAAAACCACCAAATACAATTCCAGTAACCATACCCACTGTAAAACCCATAGTAAAACCAATTTTAACACGATCAAAACAACTTGGTTTATTTATTTGACCACCACTTGTATAACCTGCTGGTACAGCTGGCATCTTAAGAAGATGCAAATTAGTTTTGATTTAAAAACAAAATGTATTTGAATATTATACAAATGATAGTATGTTTCTCTCTTTTTTACTCTTGAATTTGATTTAATAGAAAATCTACGAATTAAAATCAAACTCGAACATAGATGTCTCTATTTAACATTCATCATGACAGATTTATTTTCTTTTTATAAGATAGAAATAGCAGTATTGAAAGTAGATCATTTTTTATATGTTTGCCTCCCGAAATAATACTATTTTCTTTTAAAATTAAATTCAAATCTATAGAGATAAATGATTATAATAAGATTTTCTATATTTTGAAATAGTTTATTTGATTTCATGGAAGTCAAATACAGTTTGTGACGCATGTCAACAGCGACCATGATCGAAGAATACGACTCATAAACAGCTGTTTAAGTTGAAATACGATACATTGACGTTATTCTATTATACCGTAAATATAAAGTCAGTAATACAGCCATATGTGTGATAGAATATAGCCATATGAAGGCATCTTTAAAGCGTTTTATGATGAGAGAATACGATGTTGCATACCAGATCAGTGATACTGTGGCATCATATATTGACGATTTATAGAGCTTCCAGAAGGCACCGACGAAATTAGGAGGCATTCCAATCCAGAATGCTAATTGCAAGTTCGATTGATTTCTGGTGTTTTCTTGCTGAAACCGACTCGTGTTTCTTGATCTAAGTAAATAAGCATTTTCATTTCCGTAAATCGTTATGTAAACCTTCGTATATCTCGAAGTAAGATCGTTTACAATCGTATTGGTTAAACGTTGGTGCCTGGAAGATTTTCAAAAAAAAATCGTTCCTCAAACACTTTTTCATCGAACGAATATGTAGCAAATCGCTGGTGATGATATGATTGTTTTTTAGCTGTGTACTGTTGATCTCTGATAAATGCACCATGCTTAAGAAAATGAAAAGAAAAATATTCGTCTTATGAATATCAATACTAGCAGTTCAGTGCAATTATTTCAATAGATATGAATTTAACTCTTCACAGACTGTATATCAATAATATCTCATTCTAATATATGAACTATTTTCTTATTACACTTTTAAAAGATTAAATAAATGGATGATGAAGAATAAAAAGTGTTTGGCAACAATAGCTACATTGTATTTCACATTTTAATCCTACAAGGATTGCATTAACAGTTTTATTTTTAAATATAATAAATTAATTTAAATATTAAATTGAACTTTATGAATATTCTGAGTAAACATATTTGAATAATTGTATACAATCTTTTTTTTTTCTCAGGTCATATCAATCATAAATCTTTTACAGCTGTTCGATAAATAATATTCTCCAAACATAGTGTCTATCTATTTCGAACATGTCAACATTGTTTTTCTGTTATTTTCTAATGATTCAGATAAACTAAAAACTAATTAATAAGAATATCATACTAGATAGCCTTATGCGGATAATATTCATCGTTTAATCTAGTTAATATAAGGCCTAGATTGTTGTTTATATATTTTAGTATATTTTGTACGTGTTTCTTTCTTAATACATTTTCCTAACTAGCTACAACAACTTACTAAATTAGTCAAGTTATTCAGATTGGTTTGTGTCTTTGTCTATTTCATTCATCTTTGATTATCTTACCTACGCAACAGATATATATAAAAATGAATATAAGAATCTAACGTCAAACAGAAATGAAGAAGAAGAAGAAGAACAAGACAGAAATCAACGAAGAAAAAAAAAACCTGGTTATCTTACAGACAACTGGCTAAGTACACTATCGATATTGTTAATTTGTTTTATCTTTTTGTTACTATTTTAGTATAGACAATTAAAACTAATAGCAAATAAAGAGAAAAAGAGAGAGCAGACAATTGAAACGAAGTGACATCGGATAATATAAATTACTCAACAAGGACATAAACAATATAAACAATATATTTGTCCAACTGTTTTCTACACTGTCGATTTTCAATCAATTAATGAAGACATATTTGAAGCATCCATACGAAAAACCATTAACGACAATATACTATTCGTCTTTAGATATCTTGAGTCATTTTTCATCATATGCCAACTTCCGACAACGTATTATACAGCCATCAGCAAGACAAAAACGTGTTTTATCATTGCCTAAGATATTGAAAATAAAACGTGTACTTTCGAAAAAATATAGTCTAAAGTCATATGGATTTGTGAATAGTTCATTACATCAACAACGACAACAACAATCAAACAGTCGGTTAATTAAGGTAAATAGAAAATGATAAAACTAGATACACATATAAAATGACAATATACTAGATATACTAAGATCTCTTAGTGTTTCGTCTGAAATATTGAATAGTACTGTTATTGGGTTTTGTTGATGTATCTTGTGATATAAATAGATTTTTTGTATATAATATTAGAAAAAAATCTCATTAAGCAATTTTCTTCTATGTTTATTTTCAATTTATTATTATAATGAATGATTTGTTAATATACTGCGCAAAAAGAAATATTAGTCTTTCTATTTTTGTTTTCTATAAATAGTATTCATCTGATACGAATGATATGTTGCCAGAGATTTATTGATTGATCAGTCAGTCAGTGTATCAATACATCGTTCGTAGACAAAGAAATGTATAGTATACAGAAAAGAAATCATCCATATACAAACAACTGTCTGTTCTTTTTTAAAGATAACAACCAAGTATGAACTCCTTTCATGTATGTTTTTTTTCTCTCTTAACTATCATTCTGTGATCCAATCTTCAATAACAGCAACAAAATAAGCACTTCATTGTATGTATATATATGCGTATGTATGTATTAGCAAGAAAGAAAAAAACCCCTAGTTGTCGTGTTTCTGTAGTACCATAATATTAGAAAGAAACGCCATACTAAGTGATAAATTAGAGGGCAAAAAAATAAGACAACAACATGTTACCCACGTCTAACATCTGCACGATAGGGTAGAATGCCTACCACACAACCGAACGCTAATATATCAAAATAACGCACTATACATAAAGAAGGAAAAACTCTGATGAAAGCACGATGAGAAAAAAAAGAAGTCCATATAAAAGAAAAAGAGCATATTCTTATTTGTACTCTTTGTGATGTCTTCTTCTTCTTTTTTTTTTTGTTTCTCTCGATTAATATCTATAATGACGTCGATTATACAATATGAAACCTGTTGATCTGTTGTTGTTGTTTAACAAACGATAACTAGATAAGAAGGCAAGAATTAAAACATGTTTGATTGATTTAATTTATCGTCTGTTGTCGACAAAACCAAAAATTTCCTTTTTTTTTTTTTTGTTTTCGACTAAATGCTTGTTAATGAAAAATAAACATACAGAATACACATATGAAGAAAATACCCTCGCAGCATCAAATAACATCATTAGACTAGGAAATCATTATATGAATATATATAGATGTGATATTTTTTTTTATAGAATCGGTCGTTTTCTATCCTGATGGCATCACCGAATATTGATAGAGGTCGATGTTTGCGTTATAAGTCAGATTTGCAGGTTTGTTCTATTAAATTAATAGATTAAAAAAAAATTAATTAATTTATCTAATAGAAGAAACCTCTTCTTCAACCGACATCAACAATAACTGTTGTCGAACAACGTCATAGTTCATTATCAATATGGATTTCTGTCTCTTTAGTTCTTCTTTTATTATATATTATTTATCGACGTCGTCAAGATGATTTTGATGATGATAAGGAAAACGATGAACATGGAGAACAAACTTTTGAAGAAAATATTCATACATTGGAACCATCCGAATATCGTTTATCAGCTGTTCATTCATTACCAACAATAGTTGAAGAAAATCAAATTACATTAACTCCATCAAATTCAAATGCTAATTTTACTCCAATTAATATAACATCTTCAATGATATTGGGTAAAGGAAAAACAGAGAAAAAATTCATTTTTTTTTTCTTCTGTCAAAAACAAAAAAACATAAATATCAATCGTTATCTTTTTCTTATTATAGACGATAATGACAGTAGCCATACATCATCAACAATTTTACGTCAACGTAAAACACCAAAAACTGATATTGATGATATAGATGATTATGTCCAAATACCTCCAATAATACAAGAAAAACCTTATCATATAAGTAAAGATTCAACAAAAACAGCTACTGAATTACCAACAATAACAAATGAAACTGGTCATCCAATAATATTTCGTAAGTTTTTCTTTTAAAAGAAACAAAAAAAAAAACAGAAAATTTATTCAAATAAATATTTAGGAAGATTTTGTACACCACATGTAAATGCCATCAGAGATGATTTTACATCAATAGACGAAATAAATCAAGCTGTTAAAGATGTTGGTCTTGTTCGTTCACAACTTATCTTTGGTATTGATTATACAATAAGTAATCTCGAAACAGGCAAACATTCATTTGATGGTCGTTCATTACATCATATAGAAGAAGGTTTACTTAATCCGTATCAAAGTGTAAGATATAAATTTAAAATAAAAAAAAACAAACAACAACATAAGTTTCTTTTATTTATTATCTTAGGTTATAACTATTGTTGGACGAACATTAGAAAAATTTGATTTTGACAGTTTAATACCAGTATTTGGTTTTGGTGATCGAACAACACTTGATAGAAAAATATTTCCTTTACGTGTATGTTTATTATTTTTTTTACTATTAATTATATTTAACATTCTTTTCTTTCTCTGGTAAATAGCCGGATGGTAGTTATTGTAAAGGTTTTCGTGGTGTACTTGATGCATATAATAACATTACTCCAAAAGTACGCATGGCAGGACCAACTAATTTTGCACCATTAATTAAAGAAGCTATTCGAATTGTGAAGAAAACAGGACAAGTAATATCATTGACGAAATATTTTCAAATATTGATCTTTTCTTTTTTTTTCTCACTAGTATCATATTCTTGTTATTGTTGCTGATGGTCAAGTTACAAATGAAAGACAAACAAAAGAAGCTATTGTTGAAGCAAGTAATTATCCATTATCAATTGTTATGATTGGTGTAGGTGATGGACCTTGGGATGTCATGAAAGAATTTGATGATTCATTACCAACACGACAATTTGATAATTTTCAATTTGTTAATTATAATAGTGTTGTTCAAGCATCAATTGATACAGATGCTGATTTTGCTTTACATGCACTTATGGAAATACCATCACAATATGCAGCAATAAAAAAACTTGGCCTTCTCAAAGACAATACATCTTCATAGTCAGTTCTCTTTTTCTTTTTTTTTTCAACATCTATTTTTTCGTCTTCTTGTCATAAAAGTTTCACCAATGAAAAAAAAAAATACATACACATATTCACCCAAAAACAAAACAATATGCATATACATATAATATTTTAGACTAATGTTTGTTCTTCTTCATATTTGAGTGTTTGTCCTAAACGCTTACGACGTGCAATTCGAGTTCGTAAAATTTCTTTTTGATGAAGTGAATTCATTTGAACGAAGAGAGTTGTCATTCCAACAAAATGAAGTGGAATAACAGCAATAGTTACAATTACTGTTGCAATTGTTATTGGTTGTAAACATGCACGTTCCATATCCTTTGGATAAATAACATTTGCATCAAGATTATTATCTGTTGTTGTCGTTGTTGTTGTTGTAGCTAAACACAAGCAAACTCTATATGAATGTTGACTAGGAATTTTTTTTTTCTTAATTTACCTGTAGTAGCTGATGTTGTTGTTGTTGTTGTAGCTGTTGTTGCTGTTGTTGATGTTGTTGATGTTGTTGTTGATGTTGTATAAGCTGGAATACCAGTTGTTGTATAAAGTGTGTTATATGTTGTAGTACCCAGAAACTGTAATACAAAAGAAATAAGAATAATATCAAAATAGGTATTTAATATTAATGGACATGGATCAATGTAATTATTTACTGTTTTTTTATCATAAGAACTTCTATATTTAAAGTAAAGGAAGTTTACAAAATATTGGCAAAGACTTTCTATGTTGCACGTTTGTTCGCACCACGACCATCGGTGTATGCGGTGGTATCTATAAATATCAACTAGATATATCAGCAGTAGATTATCAATTGAATAACAACAATGGATATATTGCAGTAGAATGGTTGCTCAGAAAATAGCCGATTGTTTACACAACAATTGTTTTATGAATTATATGTCTTATTGGATAAATTATATGATTCGTCTGAAAGAAGATTTTTCATAATAAATTGATCAATATTTCTATGTTACTTTAGAATTGAAAAGCTTTCAAATTCTATTTTTAATATTATAATATGATTGTGTTTTAATTCGATAATAAATTAATTATTGATTATTTTAACATTTGTCTTGATGAATAGAATAAACTTTAAAGATATCGAACAATGATAATCTTGGAATTTTACTTCAACATTTTATAATAATGATTATTAAGAAATATATTATCAATGGGTCAAATTCCAATCTGTCAAATTCAAATTTATTAAATTATGAATTTTCTTCATTCAGCACAAATACTACTGACATGATTTCTTAATTATATATGACAACGAAAGAAAAAACACTTTTCTTTTTCACCCACATACATTGACTTTTAACTTCTTATGACGTTAATAGAAAAATAAGTAAGTAAACACTTACACGAGTAGTTACTGTGTGAGTCGTTGCTGTGCTTGTTGTAGTGGAAGGCGTTGTTGTTGATGACATTGCTGAATTCCATATTGTGAATCTCCAGTATCTATTATCTTTGAAAAAATAAATAAAAAATCTATAGATATTTAACAATTTCTATCAAAATATCTTACTACTAAAACCAGCAGCTTCAACACCACAATACTGATCAGAAGTAGCTACACCATCCGTCATTGTTATAAAATATGTAACACCCAAACTCCATGATGGATTATGAATGAAAAAAACTATTGTAGAGTTTATAAAATAAACATCCGGTGAATATTTGCAATCAAGACGACGAAAAAGGGCATTATTATTTAATTGATATATATCGATATAAGTTCCACTACGAATAGTTCTTCTCAATGATGTTGTTGCTATAAAATAAAGTGAATAATATTCATTTCATTCAATACATCTTCAAAATGATATTGTAGAGAAATCCTTACCTTGAATGCTAAAACGCATTTGTGTAGGCATAACAGTACCAACAGGTGATGCTGTACTTTGAACAAATGTTGGAAGAGTTAGCGATGGATTACTACCATTTACAGCAAGCATTACACAATATTGATTACTTGTTTGACCTTTGTTATCTACAGCTGCTATACAAAATGGTTGAAGACCTAATATTACAATAAATAGTATTACAGAAATCTTTATCAATTTCATTCATATACTTACCTGTTTGATTGTTGAGTGGAGTCCATGAAACGGATACGGCCCAAGTATAATTACTTTGTTGAAATATATTTCCTTTTTGTACACGAAATGGTGATGTTGAAATAAACTCAACAATTGAATCATTTAGACAATAAATTCTACCTTGAAAAGTAAAACTATAAAATGTACCAGGTCTTGCATCTAGAAATATAAAATCAATGAAATATTGTTTTCTATAATAATTTATTTTACAGTAACATGCGAGATTACGTCGAGGAAAACCAGTGATATTAGGTCGAGTTGTACAAGTATTGGTAGGTCGATAAGAAACATAGACC